CTGTTCCTATCCCTGTCCCTATCCTTGTCCCGGCCCCTGCCCCTATCCCTGTCCCTATCCTTGTCCTGGCCCCCGCCCCTATCCCTGTCCCTATCCCTGTCCCGACCTCTACCCCTGTCTTAGGCGCTGCCTCGACCCCGGGTACAGGCGGGCGGCTGGTGCCTGAGGGGGCTTTGTCTGTGCTGTTTCAGGTACGGCGGGGAGGAGGATGAGGATGAGAAGCAGCAGGAGGAGGGCGCCGAGGCGGAGGACCGGGCGCGGGTCCTGCTGGAGCGGCTGCGGCAGCAGGCGAGGGCCCGGCAGCTGAAGAAGCAGCGGGAGGCGCAGCCCCGGGGACGGGAGGAAGGCCCAGGGGGCGCGGGGTTGAGCCCCGGGGGTGAGCCCGGGGAAGGAAAAGGGAAGAGGAAGAGGGAGGGTGAAGAGCAGACCGGTGCGCAAGGGCAGAAGAAGCTAAAGGCAAAACAGCCCCGCAGCTCTGCTGAAGGCAGGGCAGGCACTGAGCAGGCAGCAGATGGCAGCAGCCCCGTGAAGAAGAAGAAAGAAAGAAGAGGAAAGTCGAAAGTGCAGCGGGAGAGGAGTGAAGCAGGTAACAGGCTGTAGGATTTCATTTCATTGTGGTTGACAGTTCTCCATGGAAAAGTGGACACGAGTTACCCAGTTTACCTGATTTGGTTTTCCTTTGCTTAATATGTTCCCAAAGTAGTTCTTATTTTTTAGTGGAAAACCCCATATTGCAAACTTTGAGGATTAATTTAGTGTAAGGGGAGGAGGGAAATATGTCACCTCAGTCTTGTTGCCTCCATACCAACAAGGAAATGTTTGGCTTTTGCACTTGGATTTAGGAAAAAAGAGGAGCTTGCAAGTTGTTGCTTGAGTCCTACATTGTAAAATGTTGCCTGCATCCCTTTTCTGTAACACATTCTGACCTGTGGCTCTGTGTTCCTGGTATCCACATTCCAGATTCTGAAGAAGATATCGAACAACAGGAAAATAGAAACAATGTTAAAAGTAAGTCTTCTAAAAGGAAGAAGACACATGAGGAAACAGAAGGAGATGAAACAGGGAAGAAAGAGAAGAGAGAAAGAACTAAAGAAAATCAAAGCACAAAGGAGGAGCTTTCCTTAGCAGCCTCTGGGGAAGAGGCAAATTATCCACCCTCCAGTTTGACAATTCTTGGAGACTACGACAGAAAGCCGGTGCAGAAGGTACATTGAGCTTGATGGGATTGTGATGATGGTCAGGAGGGAACATGCATCTTGCAGGTTTATTTTACGTATGGCATTGCCATATTCTCCTTTCCTTCTCCTCAGGTTCAGCCCTTTTTGCCACAGTGGCTTGCTCAGCCCAAACGAGTGCAGAAACGTATCAAAGACAATCTGTGCCCAATCAGAGATGTGCCAGGAATCCATCCCCGCCTGCTGAAAAAGCTGCAGATGAATGGGATAGAGTCCTTCTTTCCAGGTACTTTGACAGTGCTTTTGTTCCTTTCTGAACTGATTTGCAGAGTTCCTGCAGTCTGGTGCTGAGCATTTTGTGTAGTCAGTGAAGTAAAACATGGGACATATAAGTGATTGCATCAGCTTTAACACTTCATTTTCAAAGCCTTATCTAAGTTGAGTAAAGATCTATTATCTACTCATAGATAAAGCTTGAAGTAATGGCTTAGAGCTGCCCAAAGAGGGAAGTCTTACTTGTGTCCTCACTTTTTTCCTCCTTATGCCAAGCATGTGTTTTAGCTCCTTACTTTCCACCATGTCTGCTACTGATCACAGCTCTCTGGGAACTCATTCAACTCAATAAAGTACCAGAAAAACATTCAAACAAAAAAAAATAATTGTCGATTTTCCGTTATTTTACTGGTTTTGCAAACAAGTACAATAAATGCCAGCTCTTAAATAAGTAGAAAGCACACCTGGAAGCAAGGATAAGGGTAGGAGGGTGAGCTGAGTAGTTGGTCCAGCTGAGCCTGGAGGCTTAGGCTGTGTCAGAGGCCTGTCAGGGTTATGTTGGGAAGCCAACATGTGTCTTCTCACTTAAAGAATGCTTTCATATAACATTTTAAGGGTGTGAGTGAGTTCATTAATGGTGTACTTTGTGTTTGTTTCTGGTTTTGCTCAGTTCAGGCAGAGGTGATTCCTGCCATTCTCCAGAGTGCCTCCAATGGGTACCTGGTGGGGCGGGGGGGATACCGCCCCAAGGACATCTGTGTCTCGGCACCCACGGGCAGTGGGAAAACCCTGGCGTTCGTCATACCCATTGTCCAGGTGAGTTCACCCCAGGGAAGTATCTGCAGGGAAAATGCTGGAGGTGCTTTTGTTCAAGTGAAACGGCAGCTCAGAAGTATGTTAAAAAGCCAAGGAATTTGTGGACATAAGGCAGCGGGATTTTTAGCTCAGAGCTGTCTGAGGGAGCCTCGTGTCAGCATCCCACTCCTTTCCTCAGACGGGAGGCAAAGCATGAGGAGTTGGGAAGGTGGAGGGAGAAAAAGGGAAACATAAAACTCCGAGGATGTGTCAAGCCCATCTCTTCTAACTAGGTTAAGTACAAGAGCCCCATTCTTGTGGGGACCACTGCTTTCAGGCACTCATTTGGCCTTTATTTTGGCAGGTTCTGTTAGATCGAGTGGTTTGCCACGTGCGAGCTCTGGTTGTTCTGCCCACCAAAGAACTGGCACAACAGGTATGTGGCTCTTCACTGTCTCTCTGAGCAGAACTGGGCCAAGGGATAGGCTGGTGCAGCCAGTTCTTTGGCTGTTCTGTGAAGCCTGTGGAAGAGCCGTGAGTGGGTTTGATGTTGTTACTGTAATGGAAAGTATTACTGCAAGTGTTTCTGTGGCAGCTGACAAAGCTCATCTCTTTGCAGGTGAGTAAAGTGTTCAACGTTTACACTGATGGGACAGGTCTGAAGGTCGTTTTGATTACTGGCCAGAAATCTTTTGCAAAGGAGCAGGAGATGCTTGTCCAGAAAAAGTAGGTTAAAAGGTATTTTGATAAGGTTTATAGAGATTGTAAACTAATTAATCTCATGGAACAGGGGTCAAAACACAGGCTATTGCAGCACACCATTGTGTTATCACGATTTTGGATAGTGGGTTTATGTGCTGGACACTGCTGGTTCTGTCATTGTCATAGTGCCTGCTACTACCCCTTTGTTGTGATTGTAATGTTTTACTAGATTTTTGGGACTCTTCACCAGCTGAATAAAATGCAAATGTTTACCTTATGCCCACAGGTACAAGTGACTGTGTGGATTTTGCTGCAATTAAGCTTTTTTTAAGAGCAGTGGAGAATGACACTTTGGTTTAAAATGAGGCAGTTCAGTGCAGACTGGGGTCTGGTGTCCAGCACTGCTTCCACGTGCTCTCCAAACTCAAGTGCATATTTGAAATTTATTGTTTCTCAGTTAATTGAGTGGTAGGAAAACCTTAAAGTCTGCTGGCCAAGGATCTCTGCTACGTGCTTTATGGTGAAGAGAAACACTTACTCGTGGGCTGCTTGTCCTTTCAGAGTGACGGGCTACTGCAGCCTGGCTGACATTGTTGTGGCCACGCCAGGGCGGCTCACGGATCACATCAGGCAGACCCCGGGCTTCAGCCTGATGCAGCTTCGCTTCCTGGTGAGTTGGCTCCATGGCTCTCCCATCTGAGGGCTTTGCCTGTTACAGCTGTAATTCCTGCTTTCTTCTTGCATGGAACATAAATACATCTCCACTGGAACTGCTGTGTGGGCCTGTCTGTGCTCCAGATTCCGAAGGCAGCAGTCACAAGATCAGATGTTTTATTCCAACTCGTGATACCCAAGCATCCACCCACTTCCCCTTCTCTCTTGGCCTTTTGCAAACTCAGAGTAAGGATGGGCAGAGAAAGCAATTCTATTGACTAGAAGCTTCCCTTATCTTACATTCTGGCTCACTTGTTACAGATAAAAAAAAGGAAAATCAAAAGCTCCCAGTATTTAAC